ACAGGTACGGATGACGAATGGATCACCTTTATTCAGGAATGGGCAGAGTGCTTGGTGAGGGATTCAGTATGAGAATAAGACCGTCTACCAATATTATGTCATTCAAGAAAACTGATTGTTTACGAGAGTTACGTAGCTTGAGAATGAAGAGCATTTGGATACTGCTCAGATATCTATGATTCTTCCTGAGACCTTTTCCTTCTCATATCACAAACAACTGACTCTGAAAATTCGTAGATATATTTAGATTTATATATAACAGACAAAACCCTTCGAGTGCTGCCGAATACAAAATTTCAAATTGACGGAAATACGAATTCTGCCAACATGCATCTGTCATAAAATAGCAAGGAATATTTACATGAGCCATTAACAATATTCTCACAAAATATGATGAGGAAGTCTCAGAACTCATGTAAACGGCCCTCAATATAATTCAAAGTTAGGGTTGATGTCAATGTTAGCAAAGCAGTTCTGATTGTGATAACCAATAGATAAAGTTATTGAACTCTATATACTCTTCTTGATATAAAAATCATCCCCCATTTTTCAGAGAAGTGAAATACTTGGGCATGATAATCGTCCAAAAACTAATTTCTAACAATTATTCCAGTAATATTTTCTCTGAAGCTACAGTGACAAATATGTTCATGCAGCGGAGTTTTTGAAAATAGCTGGGTTCCAAATCAAAACCGATCTATTGGTTATTAACGGTCATTACACCTAACTGTCTTAGAACTATTGCAAAAATGAAACATCTATCATCACCAATCATATTGTAACAAAATACAATAACTGGGCGTGGCAACGCTGAATCTTTCAACATAACACTTATATGTAATAAAAGAGATACAGGTTATGGCAGCTAGATACTTCAAGATGTAGTAGATTATGGTAATGAACAGGAGACAAACTGGCTTAGCACATCTGAATATGTGGGATACGAACTGACTGGTATAGTGTACTGATAATTCAAAAGATGGATGAAATGATTGACCTTCAAATCACGACGCCAAGATTCAAAGTATCACCTCTACCATCTTTCAGACAGAGATTGTTCTGCGCGAAAATTGTACATGATGTCAATGAAGCTGCCGCTGTCAGGCCATAAAGGAATCAAATAGACAACGAGGAAACATATATCGTCATGAAGGGCTATTATTTCAATTTTGAGCCCAGAATATTTTTGTAGACTCTCGAAAAATTACAGAATTTCAAGTAGAGAAACTGGATCACTAGTAAGAGAGAAAGTTGATCTGCGTCTCGGCTTGAAAATAAAAAACCTGAGATTTATATAAAATAATTTTCGAAAGATATTGCTCATTGGTGAACAACCTCAATAAAATGGAGAGATCAGACAATAAAAATTATCGCTCTACACTTCTCTTACGAGTGCTAAAAGCTCAAGTTCCATAAGGGGGTCAAACGAATGCGCCCTACCATAAAATATCTGATTCTCAAGAAACTGGTTAACTTCATCAGAAGTCTCAGCATCTCGGGAATCACCTAGATTAGGGTTTGAATAGATCGTAACAGCAAGAAACTGCATTTCGGAGGTACAAAAGCCTATGCCAAATATTGAATTTTCAGACCATCTGAACCTCATCACCATCTGCACCTTATCTATCAATTCTCCAATCATGGGTATTATTGTTACGAACTTTTTGAGACAGGGTACGTGTACCTTGTAGCTGAAGAAATTTACTAGGTAAAATTAGGTGATCCTGGTAGTAAATTGACCTTGGTCCGTTTACTTCAAAGGAACAGAAAAAGTCTAATAACCCTTTTTAATATACAACCCACTACGCTTTTCAAAGAGATAACATCCGACCCTCGGTGGTTAATATCGTTCCCATCAAAGATACGGCTCTCAAAGAAACTTTTCATTCTACCAAGATATAAAAACATCGTTGACGTGAAAGGATACTAAAATCTCAAGTTATTATCCTGGACAAATCGGATTACTACGATAGAATTGATAGTTCGTACTGAAACCTCTGGTGTACACTGAATCTATTGAAAACACTTTCAACACCAGAACAAAAATTACGGTCTCTCGAAGCGTGTTTCGCTAACCATGTTAGCGTCGTCAGGAGATCCTAATGATACCAATTATGATGACGACAGACAAATATCTTGTTTTGGAAAAATATTTGATTAGAGTGATTCAAACAAAATTGATAAATAGAACTCAATTACTAGTAAGATGCAGGAGTGAATTGATAACTTGGAATTCGATCAAAGCCCTAATTTAATGTATTGATAACAAACGCAATCTTGTGAGTAGTTCTTTCAAAAATGAATCCCCTTTGAATTTTGACAAAAGGCTGCAAATTTCACTAACATACAAATATACTGCTATAAATTGTATTCATTTGAAAACAATACAAAGATATCTATTTGAGAAATTTCATTAGAGGTCTATCAGGACCATTACAAGCCTTTTGATGTAACTGCTAATAACATACGGTATGTATTTTCTTATTCGGGATAGTTGTTTTCAAGAATGAAGAGATGCTTTCAACATGATTCTTGAGGGGTTTGAAAAAATAAAACTTGCTGAATAAATGTAAATAAATAAATATATTCCATAACGATTATTATGTGAAAAATGAAGATCAATATGGATTTATTGGAATTTTGAGCAATGTACAAAAATTTATTCACAAAATGAATATTCTTCAATGTTTACATTCCATAATCATAAGCAACCAGCTATAAAACAGTACCGCTTGGATATTTTTCTAATAGAAACCTATTTATCAAAAACGTTAGTCTAATGATAGCATTTTTAAAAGAAATATCATCTATAATTCGCATACCAATATTCACAAAACATAGCAACAATATTACATTAGGAACAACCATGTTAGACAAAAAAAATAATTTTTACAAATAGTAAACATTACCACCTCGATGAAGTTTTATTAATTTACAAAGTGTCCTATAAGTACTATCACACATTTTACAGAAATGCAAGTATCACGCGAACATACAGGATTTTTCTATAAAAAAAACACTCTCACACTTTATTTCGCATACTTCCAAGATATATTTTATATATGTATATTGATTACAATTATAGCCCAAGACAAAAGTCAACATTGTCTCGATAGTTGTTTTCCATTCCTCTTAGGTTATCGAAATTCAGTTAAATGATACTTGTTTAAATATTTCCTAACATGATGTATGAACTTGCATAAAAGGAAATCATTGAAAAATAAAAATATTCATGTATTGAAGTATATGATCAAAATACCCATATATTTGTGAGTATGACAAGTTGAGGCAATGAAAACATTTACCTGATTACCAATAGAATATGGAAATTGAAATATAACTGTAAAATTATATTAATTGTTGTAATATATAGGTAGGCAGGTAGGTAACTTTTTTCGAGATCAATTTCCCTAACACCAAACTGATATTTTTGCACTCGACGCGCCAACAAAGTTAGCATCCTCAATTTTCTTCTCCTGAGGATGCTAACTTTGTTGGCGAAACGCGCGTCGAGTGCAAAAAAAAATATCAGTTTGGTGTTAGGGCAATTGATCTCGAAAAAAGTTATTTAACTTTCACACCAAAGGTTCCAATCTCATCGTTATTATAGTTTGTATATGTATGGAATCATTCATGCTCTGGGGATTGTCTCAAACCTGAAATAAATATTTGGTATGAAATGATATCAAGATATCGGAAATTAGTAACAGTATTAAGAAAAGAACAACTACTGTTTTATATGTTATTTACCATTTTATTTATCATGTCTGTATGTTGTGGACGTGTATCATGTTCACTAATCAAGGGCAGATTCAGCTTTGGCGCCAGGGGGGTCACATAGTCGTGGTCGAGTCACAAGAAGTTATAATTTAATGTTGATAATAATAGATACAAGTAAATAGTAGGTATTTCATCAACTTCATTAGGTACGTTGAAGTACGTTTTTAAGGAAGTGAGTAAGTGCCAGTCCGGTTAGACTAGACGTTCTTCAACCATTGAAGCTCTCAGACAGGACTTGATTATTCGTAACGTAGAGAGATATCTTTCCACTATCGCTATACGTACAGTAGTTATAACTCATTAAAATTTTCTTATATTAGGATACATGTCAATATCACAATTTGAAATAAAGTCAGAAATCGACTGCGGCATGTCCTGACTCCGCTGCCCCGTCCACAACCGATATTCGTTTACCACAGAAACTGTATTATTATCTTTATTATTTAGTAACAATGCATAATCAAATTTTCGATGCGTTTTTTCCCGAATAATGCGTTTGCCGTGAAACAAAGTATTATATTGAACTGAATAAATACTGAAACTATTTAAACAAAAAATTTATGTAAACATGTTTAACAATTTTAATTAGTGATCCATCTTGGTCCTGGACCCAGCTCAGGGGGAGGGGTCATGATCCCTATATATGACCCCCCTTGAATCCGCCCTTGTAATCAATACAGCCCTGAAGATTTGGTGATTGTGATTTCATTATCTGATGTGCTATTTGTGATTTAATCAATTCGTTCACCTCTGAATTTGAAACTCCAGATAAATCATTAGTTTGAACAGTGGAGTAATAATGATTGGAACTTTGGTGAAAAGATGTACAATATGTCATGAAAAAAAAACATTATGAAAAATTAGACCATACATATGATATGTTTCATGAGTATGATATAATAATGTTTTATGAATTCACAGTTGCTATAGTTCATCGGTTTCTATTTATGTATTTAAAATACTATGACAAATATGGAAAATGCATATCGTTTGAAAAATAGAGTTTGAATTTCACCAAAGTGTTTTATTTGACACAAAACATTTTTCTCAAATCGTGTTCCGAATAAACTAAGATCAAATCTCGAACAATCACATTTCAACATGATTCTAAATATCACACGTTGAAAAGTGAGACCTCGGTAATCCCTAGATCACACAAGTTTCTACTTTTGCCGGTTTTCGTTCGGAGAGGGGTGACAGCTGGTAAACGAAATAACAGATTTTCAGTTTGGGAATTGTAATTCCAATAATATATTATAAAATGGGCCTTAGATAATGAGATATTTATGATATGGTTTGGAGTTGTATATACAAAAGTTGTGGTTTTTATATCAATTCTAGTAGACTGGCAGTGTAACTAACAACATTTATGAGGAACATTGCATTCCTGTTCCACACAACTGTTTAATGCAGGTAATGGTAATAGAACACAATAGTTTCCTGATAAGAGATTGATGCACTTCATCTAGTCATCACATTTTGAAAGTAGTCGATCTTTGGTAAAACATATCTGTTTCACTTCTTAGCAAGTGAACATTGACGAGTTGACAAGTAGAGGTTGTCCTAAAGTTAGAAAAATAGGATTAGTTGCTGATTTAGTCGTAATATCAAAAAATAAAGTGAGTTTTTTTACTATTCATTATATACGTTCAATCCAAAATTAGCTGTTTCCCTCTTTTGAAAATGATTATAGAGTCATGTAGTCCATAGACGTCTTAATTCACATTTGGATATGAAAAGTATATGTATACATATTTTTTGTTATTTTATACAATTCCCTGTGTTGCGATAAAATTGTGCCAATGTTATTTTGAGTGATATGTAATATACAACATGAAATAATATATTTTTTGAAAATTCAATAAAGTGTTCCTTAAATTTACTTAACAATTATTCAATAAAAAGCCACACTGGACTGCAGTTCACTTCACTAAGGCATGCAAGGCAAAGTACTTCTTCACAGCAGTAGATAAAATATAATTCACTTTGCATTTTATAGAAATACCCTGTATCAGTTCAAAATTCGATATGCCAAATTACGTATTAAGTACGTTCACGTGGTGGAAATTTTTAAAATCAAATATTCCACAACAACAAATGATTTGTGGAATCTTCTCTACCAGCGACCTCGGACAAGTTTGAAGTTCTGAAATCTTCATATCCATCACCTCCCGAAATGACTAACAACTTTGTATTACTTCTTGTGTCTTGTTTGGCCTTGTATGAATTTCTGATTGGTGCTTCGTTAGCGATGGGTATTTCGACTGATGTCAAAAATCTCACGTGGCCTGTGTGACCATGCGGAACCCCAGTTACAGTGGGAATGGCAGTCAACTTTGTCGTCGTCGATGTCAAATGAGGAAGGGGCATTGTAAGTAGTACTCCTGCAGAAGTTCCGATCCAGAGGAGATCTTTGCATGTCACCAAAGCTGTCACCCGCAAGCAGGCAGCTTTGTGCTGTCTGATTATGTCATCGCAACCTGAAATAGCGAAAACAAAAAATATTTTTAGTCCTAACAACTTTTTGAGTGACTACACAAATCCATAGTTCACTAGATCTTGGATCATTAATCATAGTACAATAAAATTCAATATAAAACATCCAAACTTTTGTGTGAGATGTAGAAACAGAGGATGTGTTTTTGTCCCTTAACATCACTAACATTATCTTATGTTATGAGAGGAAAGTATCTCAAGTTTTCTATACATGAAAATGGTTATGTACATTTTTTCTAGGGTATTATAGTTCCAAGGATATGAAAAGAAAGGTTGTCCCATTTTCTGCATGGTAATTATCGAACATTTTTAAGGATACTATCTTCCCTTTCGCCACTTTGATTTGAAATACTTCATTTTTTGATATTTCATTATATTTCACTACTAGTAGGTGCACCAAACATAAATTTGTTTGGTCACTTAAAATTTTCGTCATGTAGTGAATAAAATAGATTTGTTGGCTATGATCGTTCAAGTACGGATTTAGCAGATTTCAATAATAAATGAGGTTCAGTTCATTAAAATAGAACTTAACTAAATAGTTTTTTATATAAAAGTTCTTCTGACACCTCTTAAGTTTTGAATAAAACAAGATATCAAGGGCAAATAAAATAAATGAAAAAAGGCATCTTTTTTACTACTTTTTGTTGAGTAAAACAATAGTGTTGCAGCACTCGTTGTTGAGAGAGTTCAAGAAAAAATTTATGCAAACTCACTTCAGTTCATTTCAGTTAATGCTCAAAATGTCCACTCCCATGCAATATAACAGTTTTCTTTTCAAATTCATTTCTTACATTATGGCATGTTTCTGTATCAATTACGTTTTTTTTTGTACCTTCGGAGCTGTCTGACTTGTCCATTTAGTCCAAGTCTCCAGAAAACACTGCAGCCTCTTGGGCTCATTGCGTTGATTCTCCCATCTTCTCATGACACCCATTCCATCAGTTTCGTTCCCTGTACTAGTTTGTACAGGTTCCGTGTTGGATGTTCTTCATATTCTTCTGGGCGTAATTTTGTACGTCCATATATTGCCTGCCTCTTGTGATTCAGTGCCTCATATTCACATAAGATGTGTAGAGCTGTTTTTATCCCTTCGTTGCATAATCTGCAGCTGAGGTCTCCGTTGTACAGCCCCATTTTATTCAGGTGTTCTCTAAGCGGATAATGACCAGTTAGTAACCCTGTAATTATTCTGAGCCAATCCCTACTATATTGGAGTAGTTCTTCAGTTCTTTTCTCGGACGGTTCCCTAATGAAGAATCTACTGTGTTTGTTGCCAGGTACTTTTTTCCAGTACTCTGTGTGCTTTTTATTGGTCCATGTCCTAATCTGGTTTCGTACCAATGATTTTGGTACCCCCAGAGCTGGTTCAGGACCTACATATGAAGTTGATGATCCGCGTCTAGCGCATTAATCAGCTTTATCATTACCTGTGATTCCTGAATACCCTGGCAACCAGTACAAAGTTAATTTGTTCTTGTTTGCAAGATCATTCAGTTCTTCATGGCATTCCCAGACCAGTTTTGATGTCACCTTCGGGTTTGTCAGAGCCCCTAGTGCGCTCTTGCTGTCTGTAAAAATATTCATCCACTTACTTCTTTGAGGTCTCAATTTAATAAGCCTTGCACACTGCAAAATAGCATACACTTCCGCCTGAAAGACGGATGTGTATAATCCTAGCGGATAGCTGTAGTTTAGATTTCTATCCGCTCGGTATATTCCAACTCCCGTTCCATGTTTGGTCTAATGGTCTTCCGCTCTTCACGGCGTATGATTTTGGCCGTGAAGTTTGTGTTAAAGTTGTACTTCGGTGTCATGTGGTCCGTGCACATATTCAATATGTACTTCTCCACTTGTTCCGAAATTATCAATTACATACTATCAATGACATCTGAAATGAATTGCGGTAGTGTTTCATAAATTTTACATGCTACATATTCACTCAAAACATCTAGAGGCGTCATATCAGGTGAACTAGTGGACCATTCTAAGGGACCAAGATCACCCTTTCCAATTTAAAATGAAAAGTGATGCAACACCTTTGCCTTCCTTATCAAAAAGAACTCGAAATAATAACTTCCTAATGTAAATTTTGTCCGACCTTGATATCTTGTCCCGTTCAAAAGAATTAAGCACTTTCAAGTGCGCAATATATATGTTTCAGTAGATGTATTTCATTCAAGATATCGTTTCAATTTCTGAAAACCTAAAGAAATATTTAATCTATTNTTGAATTTTGAATTCACTCCAAAGAATTACTAACATTTATTTAATGACGCAAATCGTATGAGCAATCATTAAATACAGTATTCTCAGTTCTGAATTCTTCAACTATCAAATTATGCACAAACTAGAAAAACTTCAATATCAACATCAATATAATATCACAAATATGTAAAACCACCAGAAAATATGTGACAAGTTTCTTTGTGGGTTCTTTTTGATAGAACATATACCGGGTGTCCGAGAAATCTCAAGTTGAAAAAGTTGAATTTTGGCAATTATGTTCAAAGGAATAGACGTTTTTACGCATTAGAAACTTATTCACCCTTGCAGGGGTGGCACCAGAGGGCTGCTTGCCAGAATCTTAAATGGAACCCTATATTGACATGTAATTCATTTTGAAGGACTTGAAGGAATAAACAGTTCTGCCTAAACTAAAGGTCTCTGCGGTCCCCCTTTTCGATAAGTAATGAATTCCAGTGGTGAAAAATAGTTTTATTTAAGATGTTCAAAATGACTTCCACCAACCTCTTGACACCTTTACACTTGTCACAATTTCTAGTGTTATAATAGCGCACACATCTGTGATTCGTTGCCGTATTTCTGTCAAGTTCGCTCGTTTTGTTAAAAATACTCGCTCCTTTACATAACCCCAAGAAAATAAGTCAAGGGAAGCGAGATATCTAGTTTGAAAAGAAATGTTTGTTTCTTCAAGGCTTTTAAAATGAGCTACATATCAATTTGGGGTTCCATTTGAGATATTTGGATGCAGCACACTGGTGCCGCTCTTGCATGGGTGAAAAAGTTGCAAATACATAAAGAAGTATATTCCTTTGTACATACGTAATTGCCAAAATTTCGTTTTTCTGTTCCCACTGACTTTTAAGATATTAGCCCGTTACTAAGGCTCAGATGCTTTGAAACCAACTAAAGATTTTCTATGCATTTGTAATGGAAAACGCGCAAGTACTAAAATATATAACCAAATTTCTTGGGAGAATTTTAAATAAATGCATGTGATATTGATTCCCGCCTTTTTGAAGGTGAACTCTATAAGCCAGGAAACTAATAGTAATACTTACTTGTTAGCATTTTTGTAACTGAAGGGGCAACATTGATTTCACATAAGAGTTCGAATGTAGTGCTATGATAGCATTTAACTATTGCAGAGTTTTGTAATGACAGCCAAACACCATTTCCACACAGAACTATGCAGGTAATTGATTTATTGTTGTCGTTGTTCACGGTGAAACTGTTTTCAGTTGTGAGGGTATGGGTGTTGAATATTTTCACACTGCTTCCGCAGCCACACCACAATTTTCCCAAGCTTGGAACCAATTTAGAAACCGGTGAACTTAACGAACCTACTGTGCATATCGTTGGGCTACTGATGTTCCAACTTCCACCTGTAAATTAGAAGCTTTGTAACTAGACCTAAATAACTGATAATACTACACTAGAACAGTCAAATATGATAATAGATATATTGAAAACACTTTTCCAACACAAGAACAAGAGTACTTACCTGTAACTCTCATTTCGCTATCATGAGCTCATTAAAACTGGGTTTTATGTTCTGGAGTGGAAAAACTGTTTTCAATTGATATTTCAGAAGTCTATGAACTTTGGGAAGTTTGAGGTCTTGAAAATGAAGGATACTAAGACGTTCATAGAGAATGAGTGAAACAGAGGACATAAATTCAAAGCAAATATACTGTTTTCACTACTGAGAACTGGAACATACAAGGGAAGTATAGATCAAGATGGAATCAATGTCAACGAGAAGTCAAATAAGGCTTACATAATGAGACTCTAAAAGTCAGAAATGGGACGAGGCAGCAAAAACAGTATTGATAAGAACTAGTAATATAGATATTGAAAAAAAAAAGTCGTGAAACGTCGAGTGGAAAATTTTTTTTTAAATCTTACCTAATAGATATTGTCTGATTGTTATTCAAGCGGGTACCTAATAGGTTGACAAATTACAAAAAAAAATGTTTGAAAACCAGAGAACAAAAATGTTGATCTGTGAGTTAGTTTAAGGAAGATATCAAAAAAGTTAGAGGAAAACGCAGACGATTTCAAAAAAATAAAGGAATTATAAAGGAATTGAAATAATAATTTTCTGACCAGGTAGCTCTAAAATGTTTTCTGCAATTAGCTACCTGCTGGTGGAATAATCTGCTAAAATGGCTGAAGGTGGAGAAAATGGAAGGTGAGAACAAAATCTAAAATAATTATTTAGTTCACATGAAAGAGTATTATGGAAAAGAAAAAAGAGAGGATTTGAAACCTGACACTAAACTCCAATTAACTTTGATAATTGAAGAATAATTAACAAGTCTTATACACATAATAACGAAGTACTGAGATGCTCTTTAAAGTTTCATCAAATGGAACATCTCTGATATTTTGAAGGAGATTGGTGGACACTCATGACTCAAAAAAAATTTATAAATGTCTGTGAACTGAGCGTCAAGATCATCATTCTTACTAGTAGGATGATTTTGGCATTCATTTTCTGAATAATACACGGGGTAATATTGAACATTCAATTCACCGAAAGCATTTGTACACAAACAGTGAGTACATAAAATAGAACGAGATTTATCCCCACATATCAGCTGTTTTAAATTACAGTTGCAGTGAGCAGTGTGCAAGATTACGTGGCTAAGTATGTTGTATAATTAAAACCTGTTTATTGCTTGAATTGTGGTTGTTGAACCGTTCTATAAATATCTCTTCTCGATATTTCTCCACTTGAATTAGTAAAAAAGTACTCACATGAATCTCTGTCGTAGACAATGATATCTCCATTAGCGAGTGACACAAAAACCCGATTATCTAGGTATCTGAAATAACAAATGGAGCATGATTAAATTGTATTTCATCAATTGGTGTATTTTTATTTCAAACCTAGGAATGTTTCATAAACCTTAGTGAACTCTGTATCAAAATTTTATCAAAAACACAATCTGGGACATAACATTCACTAGTGTCAATCAGGGTAGAACAAAAATTGGTCACTATCTACTTTTCCAAAGAAAACATTGATTTGCTGAAAGGGCATAACTTTATTATTTATGAGAATTTGAGATCTGCTCAAAAGTTTAGTAGACACACGCAATGTGAGGCTGCTGTCAATACATAAAGAAGTATATTCCTTTGTACATACGTAATTGCCAAAATTTCGTTTTTCTGTTCCCACTGACTTTTAAGATATTAGCCCGTTACTAAGACTTTCCGGACACCCAGTACCTCTCAATGCAATCTATAAAAATTAAAAGTTTTTCAACTTTTCAAGTGTCATGTTTGAAAAAAGTGATTTCTCAAATCATTTGGATAGTGAGAAGTATTTGGTGTTTTGTCTGGATCTTTCTACAGAATTAAAAATATGAATACTTTGTTAATGACGTAATAAGCACTACCCGCTCGACTGGGCGTCAACTTGAATGCAGCTAGAGAGGAGCCTCTGATGAGTCAATAGTAACAATAAAAGCTTCCTCTTCTGGTTGGAAAGAAAAAACCGTCATTCAATCAAAACTAGTTGTGAAGTTGTAACTTCAAGACAAGGGCATGAAACGTTGTATGAATGCTTTTATGGAAACATACACATTGGGTTTCAAGGAAGAAACCTAAAATCTTTTTTTCCCAAAAACTAATCTATATAAATGTTTTTTCAATTTGAACAATATTCCCATGGCTGGGATTGAATCAAATACCTAGCGTATGAATGTCACTATGTACTGTCATCGTGATATGAGTAGATTCAACTCATCCGTGACATAAAGTCGTAATGTTATGAATGAATTGAGTGTTCCATCTTGTGATTTTATCCAGATTGGTGCTGATGAGACAATAAGACAAATGTTTTATTTCGGATAATAGTGTTCCATGTAAATGAAATTTAATATCGTAACTCTTTCATATATTATATTGTGTTTCTGATTCAGTTCCATAACGAATGTTTGAGTAGGTACAAACTGAATGGGAAAAAGTTATTATCGTATAATTCAGTTTTCATATAAAAGTATTTGTTTTGAAAGTATTTTTCGTTAGTGTAATTCAATGTTCATATGAAAGTAGTTATTTAAGGAGGGCTTTTTCTTCCAGTTTTTATCTGAATGTGACTTTTATGCATGATATACTTGGTATCTGAGTACAAAGTTTATTATGAAATAACCAACAAAAAAAAATTTGATAGGTGTCAAACATAAAATCACAAACTATTATGAAATTGAAATAAATAACAAGAAATTGCTGGCAACAACACTATTCAACACTATTTGATGCTGTGGCAAATCAATAAGAATGGAGATTTCTGTACTATCAAAACAATTTGAAATTTGATAAGCTCATGCTGCACTAAATTAAGTAGGAATCAACTGAAACTATGTACTGACTGATATGAAGAACACTTTTTTGAAGACTGCCCAGGTTATTACTTAGCATCAACATAGCTATTATTATGTTGGTATGAGACTCACATAATACACAGTATTGAGGCTCCTAGCTGCAATTTGACTTTATTCTTTTTTATCCTGATATTGTCACAACAGTTGTACACATGTATGCATCCATCCTCAGTCCCAAGCCACATGGTTGATTGTTGATTATCTGTTTCCTCATTATCGATACTGCATGTTTCAGAGTCTTGAAACTTTTGGGGTTCTTCATTTATTTCACTATCACAGTTGTCTTCTTCTTCACTGGATGAACTGCTATCAAAATGCATTGGTTTAGTTTCTTCAGGTTCAGCCTGAGTCCGGCAAGTTCGGTTTGGAGATCTGAAAATTCACAATAATTAATAGCAATGGAAATTTAAACAATGGTAATTCATCTCACCCATTATTGATACCAGGTACTGAGGCTATACAGAGAATTCTGGCATTACACACCCCATTGCACGAAGTGACAGTGGGTTCTGGTGTTAGACTAAGGACACAAACTTGTCCTACATATCCGTCGCTGTTGCATACCCATACATCGCGGCCATTTTCTCCCAAAGTTGGAGCGGCACAAGTGAATTGAAGACCAGCTCTTGTTTTTCTTATTGGGACAGTTGCTAACAACTCAGGACACTGTTTTCTGTCGCTTGACATGGCTGCAAAAAATAAGTTTGATGAAAAATTCCGTTTTAAGTCATGATATAGGTACGGTTTTTATTAACAAACACAGACATCGCCATGTTCATGTCGATATATAATTGATGTCCAATTGGGGCCAATATATGAAAAATATCACATCAAATATCACTCAGGTACTTGGAACTGAATATCTTACGAACATCCTTAAGATATTCAAAGACAAAATATAAATTGTTTTTGACATTTTGTGTGGTTGATTCTTAGATCTATCTATATTCAGTTTTCATATTGAATATTCTTGTAATAATTATACTCAGAAAATTTACTTCCAACACAGCCAAAGCAATATAGCTATGTGATAATTTTTGTGGTAGTGAATTATTTATCCTGACATACATTTTTTATGTATTTGTGAATGATGTGCGTTCATGTGAATTTTTATTTGCGTTTTGCTTTTTCTATGAATTCATATTACTAATTAGCACCAAAGAATCGTGAATAAATATTGCAGGAAGTGAAACACCTGTTACTTATTCCCTATTTTTTTTATCAACTCGGTTGTTTAGTCAATGCTTTCATTGTCTTTATCTTGTATTTCAACTGTTCATAACTATTTTGTCTTCTGGATAGAACTTTCAAATTATTATGTGAACAATCACAATTTCATAAAAGTTATAAAAATCAATTCTAGTTCTGACCAACCTGTGATTCCATAATATATCATTCAAGAATGTTACCTATATATTTACCTAGTTTTTGTTTGGCTTCGTTCAACGATTCCTCCCAAGAAGTTCGTTTTTCTGATTTTGAAAATATGATGGAAACATTTTCAGAACCACTCCTGCAAAAAAAAATAAACATTGTAATGAAATTCGAGTGCAACATGCAAATAATGACTGAGAGTAGAATGGAAAGGTTTAGATGATTTTTAGAGTACCTTTCAGTTTCAGTTTCCCTCACTTTGATATCTATCATATATTATTTCAAATATTATTTCAGTATAAATATAAAAAGATGATATAATCAGGGACTTGGCAATTCTGGTGGTAACCAAATTACATGTTTGCCTCCATGTGGACCAGGCGGGTTAGCTGTCCTTGTTCATCTTTCACTGCTTGAACCATTGTCATGCTGTTTTTGGCGAGTGCATTGGCTTGGGATGTGGGTGTTGAGCAAACCGGCCATCGGATGCCTGCTTCCACGTAGCCCCGTTGGATACGGAAATGACAGAATCACTTGTAGTTCTGTTATTCCCTAACTGAATGGCATTCCAACGATGGCTCAATCCTAAGGTGTGTGTATCCGTGCCGAGAGGATGAATGACACTGAGCCTATTAGCTGTCTTTACGGAACCTTCGAGATACCGGGCATCGCCTTATCACGGTAATGTGGGGCTCTGCCGTGATTGACCTTCTTTTCCTAGCTGCTCGTGGGACTTTTATGGATAGAGTAAATTTAAAAATTCTTTCTGACGCTGAGTCTACAGAGGAGATGGATATCGAGCTTACGACTCCAACTAACCTCCTTGTAAATTTAGATCAGGAGCGAGTCTACAGAGATGTATGTCGAGCTTACAACTCCAACTGACCTTCATGTAAATTTAGATCAGGAGCAAGAGCTTCTCAACTCCACCAAAACCAAAGGCAAAAAATCCCTGCACGGTTGAATCTAAGGCATCGTCAGGTGTAGCTGACGGGCAAAAACCCTCATATGGGAAGGTTGTCGTGGGTATCAAGGTAAGAATCTTGCACCTTGACTATCCGACTACCTCATTAACGATGAAACAGCAGGGCATATACTTTGTGCTTGCCCCGCTGGGGAGCGAATCAGGTTTTTAGAGTTCGGCAGAGCCGTACTCTCACCATCTGACCTGAAATACCACTCACCATACCAACTAATCGGCTTCGTTAAGAAGTTGGGTTTATTTGGTCGAGTGTGAATAGGTGTGAGCCACAATAAACTGCCCGCGCTTGCGGTGGAGAGTCGAGTAGACCCACTCGTTTTGGACATAACCATACTTAAGCATATGGAACATGTATTTATGCCAAAAAATACTAACAAATTGATTCTTTCATAATGCTCGGATTCCTTTACTAAAGAAGCTTTGGATGGAGACGAAAAACCGACGTGTTCGAAATGCAAACACAAAATGAAATACATAAAATCTCTCTATCAGTACATAAGTTTTCGCGAATTTTAGTTCAATCAAGAGGTTTTCTCCAACAGATAGTTAAGGTGAACTGAATGTTACCATCAACTTTTTTCTGGGAAATTTAAACATGAGTAATTATGTGGTGAACAATGTCACCACTTTTGTAGGTATTCAATGAAACTACTTTCAGTGAGCATCACACAGTATACTGTTGACAACCGTACAGCAATCAATAGATATACATGAATACGAATCACGTGTGTCACAAATTTCACAAACCCTAGTAAGTGGAGAGGTGTAAATTCTCTTTTATGAAGAAGAGGATACTAAAGCACACCCTATATTATACCCAGAAATGGTGCTGAATATGAGCTATTGAATTATTCTTGCGTTCGTTGATACTGTTAGTGTTTTAAATTTGTGTTTTCAATTTTTTTTTAATTGGACATAAAATAACTCTGATGTAACAACAATAATAAATGCAATGCAAACTTCCAATTGAATTCAATTGTATTATCATACTTACGTTGTTGAGATCGTGAGCTCCAAGCAGGAGAGCTGAGAATCACTATTCTGTTGTTCGGTGAGCTGCTTAGTCAAGTTTGACATCATCTCTTTTATCACATCATCTAATTGAACATGATTGCAATGCAACGACCAAGCTAAATCGCTGACTTGATTCAGCACAGATATGTCTTCGGTCAGATTATCAACCTCTATCATGATTTGCTTCAAGTTATCATCTTTGGACTTGATAATTTCGATATCTTCTAACGGTATTCTCATCAATAATTTGTACTTGTTGGCTTCTAGAGTACTGGTGACGCTGCCTTGGCCCGTCACGGGTCTCCGTATTGTTCCTCCTTTCCTCTTGATCCCCGTGATCAGAAGGAGGTCAGAAAAAAGGAATAAAGCTCTGTCTTTCCGAGGCCCTCCGCCGTGTGCCATTGTGACCGAGTCGTGCCTGAGATACTGCCTCTCTGGAGTAGCCAGTTCCATCAGACCATCTATCACACCTTCCAATTCTCGTAGTTGGTCCAATTCTAAGGCTTCTTTTTCGGTACAGTTGATCTTCAGTAATTGCTCGTGGACTTGGTGTTGCGCTGCTAGGAGTAAGTTGTGGTCCGGGTGGTTTTCGTCGGTGTGTTTTATCAGCCTCTGGAGGAGGAGTTCATATTTCGGAAATTTTTGTATAGGTTTAATCAAAAGTGAATCGAGTGCTAGTTTTCCAGCGTGTAGCCTCGCTGTCACCTGGAATAAGATGATTTTTAATCCGCTTATTTGGAAAAAGTGAAAATTGATTTTCTATAGAAGTTGTTAGGCTTTCGCGATGCCATAACATACCAGGAAGTGTAAAAAAGTATCAGATCACTATTAACAAAGTGAATTACAAAAAAGTTTCTTAGAGAAGTATATGAAGTGATGTATAACATATTTTTCAGTTAAGAGCATACTCCAGTTGCAACACACAAGTGAAATTTAATGTTTTCCTATCAATTTGAAAACTTCATGAAATACAATATTCTAGAAAAAAATATGATTGTTTCAAGAAATAATATTAATTAGACAAGATGGCGCAGAGACGAAATAATATTATTCTGTGTCTGCTTCTTTATCATTGCGAACTCAATCCTATTGAACTCGTTTGGGATCAAATGAGGCGTTTATTGCAAGAAGAAACGACTTTCAAAAAAAAAAGATGACAAAATACTATTTGAGGAGTTCTCAAAAAATGTCGGTTCCGAAAAATGGCGAAAATATATTGAAAATGGAAACCTATGGAAATTGCACCGGACAATTAGTTAAGGAAATTGTAGAATCTTCAATCATATTCGACAAAGATTCACCGGTGTTATCAAGTAACACACAGCATTGGCTTGTAGCTAATATCTGCCAAATAAGCATACCTATTTATTATTATGTAAATACTTTAAATTGAAATGTTATAACAATATTAATTGCGTATTAATAAACAAACATACGCCACTGCAGGTGATAAAACGCCCCTAATCCTCATGAAATCTTTTGTTTGGGTGGACCTGGTGAAGTATCATAAACGGGTATATAAAAACAGTTGTGGCAAATCATAACAGAATCACGAAATTTTGTTTGAGCAATCTGTTAGCATTTTGCATTCATAATGATAGTCTAATCAACAAGTTCAAAAACATGAAAAATAGAGATGAAGGTCCTAAAAATATGAGCGATAGCTCATTCGATTCGGAATCACCTCTAGAAAAAAATGCAAAAATCAGATAGATATTTATGATGCACTGTTTGGAACCTTTGGTGTAGTAATGAATATTACTGGAGTTTTTTCCCAACACCAAACCGTTATTTTAACAACTATACACGTGTTTCGATCACCAAGTGATCATCTTTAAGACGAAGATTAAACTTTTAACCACTTGGTGATCGAAACACGTGTATAGGTGTTAAAATAACGGTTTGGGATAAAACTCCAGTATTATTCAGATAGATACTAATTAAAAACTTACCATATTGAATCTAATTATTGAATATACATTTTTTAGAAACAATCTGCATTTATTGTCGTTCAGCGAGTATCGGCTTTTACGATACTCGCTGAACGATTCACGAATTGTGAAGAAATATTTAAAAATTATTTCATGACCTATTAATTTATCAGTTATGACGTACTCAATTCCGGGAAAGGTGAAGATGATTAAACTTCATTTCAAAAATAATAGATGAGGAAGTTGAGTTGCCGAGCTATTCAATTAACGGCATCCTGCCAACTTTCTGGGAAAATTGTTCGCAAAACTGAATCGATTCAAAATGAAAGGAGCCAGGGTGAAAAATCCGCTACTTGATGAAGCTATAGAAATAGCAATATCGATGAAACAATTTTCTATGGCAAGATGGCTTAGTATGAGATTCGGTTAGTGAAAAAAAAAATTGTGAGCCGTCACGGAACGCCTGACAGATGTGAAACATCAATAATAACATTTTGTGACCCCTGTGATGATTGATTGTTTGGTACTGAAATATTTATAAAAATAAATGTAATTAATATATACATGAAAACATTTTAATGTGGCTTCAATAAAGTGTATTTTGCTTTCTTTGCTCACTTTCACTGTCAGACATATTTCATTTTTGTTTATTTTAAAAAATGTATTCATTCAGTAAAACACAGGTTATGTATACTGTCGTAAACACAACTGTATACACTCAGTTTGGCGAAATGGCATAACGCAGAACTAGTGGGAAGAGAATCGCACAGTCGTTTGCGCATGGCGACCCGTCGCCACACCAGCAATCGGTTTTACGTGCGGCGGTTTCACATCAATAAATGAAGACAACTTTGATTATCGTATGCAAATTTTGTAATTTTGAGTGAACAAAAAATGGGAAGTAGTAATTTTCTATTTGATGTGTGCTCTTCGAAAAAACCTTTTTGAACAGTGTGTAGTTGACTGTCATAATTGTCCTCAGTGGGTCGATAACGATCCCATGGTTATCCACGGGCGGTACGCACATTTTCGGAAATTTCCATCTAGGTTTTTTCCTGAAAATGTAACAAGTGACGTGTACTTTGATTAACTCTAGAATGCTATCGACCCCGCTTTTACTAATATCGCAGGAAATGGTCCTGCATACATTGAAAAATAAATTATATTTCAGCAAAAGGGTGCTCCCTCACATAATCAACTAAGTAGTCATCTGGCTTATATCGTTTAGATTCTTTTTGAAGTGTACATAATAATAACAACGATAAACCCACGATTTCAGACGGATTGTCGCGAATAACTCAAATAGTGAGTGTTTCATCGAAAACACCATTTCCAGTATTAATTTAGCAAAAAATAAGAATTGTGGGTTTGAAGTGTCCATAGACCCCTTGATGTTTGGTTCTCATTCGTCAAATGCCAAAATCAAAAGATTCATCATGAAGTAACCAAAAACACAATGCATTTTCATAGAGCAACTCATATGACCCTTTTTGAAGTGATGCAAAAACTAGTTTTGTTTTTAAAATATTTTTCAGCACCAAAACTAAGTGAGATAAGGGAAAAATAATGTTGGTCCTTTAATTTTTAGAGCATATAAATACAAGGTTGTTTTTAGAAAAGTTTTTCAATACTTATTATTTTTTAATTTTTCAATCATCTCTGGGCACGTTCCTCAATATGTTCATTTCATTTGCCAAGTAATTGTTGCATGGTTGCGGCCCCTACATTTGTTTGAGCACCACCAAATCATTCTTAACCTTTGCCCAGTTATATTACAATTAAAATCACCATGGTGGCCATATTGTTTTCCGCCATTTTGATTTTCCCTCTCGAAATCTTTCATTTGATAAACATATCATGGAGGTGCATGAAAAGTAGATTACCATCTTTGACAGTCCACCATATTGGATTTAGAGTAACCTCATTTAATTTTTCGTTGCATTTTTATCTTTCATTTGATACCCATATGACGTTGCATAAAAAATTAGCCCGCCACCTTGAGCGGTCTGCCATGTTGGATGTAGAATAACTTCAGTTCATTCATTGTCATCCAAACTGCACGTGTATGCAAAATTACAACTTGAATGGTTGAGAATAAAAATTGCAAGTTCAATGAAGCTTGTAATGTAAAAATCGATAAAGGAAGCAAAATTTTGTCTTACCTCTAGAAATCTACTAAATGCTGGTTTGGATTGCTGGGCATTCTTCAAAATATCCCTCGCTCGTTTCCAGTTATTTACATAATTCGTATAGCTGTCTATCACTATAGATTTGGAGAACTGTAATAAAAATAGTGATCAACAGTTTGGTAGAAAATTTCAGTAATTACGTATGTGTAGAAGGGCCATACGTTTTCTTAAAAATATTATTTTTTAAATTCCGAGTTCAACTTCAAAATTTATCAATGAGATATTGCCTCTACTCAAATAACGAAATAATTCAAATTGGAATATCAAGTTGGGTACGTAAATAATTGGAAAGGGGAGGGGGCGGTTCAAGTGGAAATGGCAAATTCAGAACAATCACCTGTTCTATTGTCTTTGAAATTTACGTTTCCACATACTGGTTTGCGTGATCCTCGGAAAAGTTATAGCACAGTCCTAAAATTAGGTCCAATCCCGGAAATCTACAAAAAAGTTTTGAATATTGCAAGTTGTCCACCTGCGTTGAAAAATCTCTGTTTTTCATAATGTACGGTTCAGAAGACAGGATGGGGGATAGGAAGTGGGAACCATATATTTTTATATTTTCCATTTATAGTTTTTCATCAACCTTCTTGAGGTTTTCACTTCCTCAATCCGAAAAATATAAAAATGGGAAACTTTAGTTCTTCCCCATAAGTTACTGCGTGATTTGAAACTATTTTTCACGAAGAAAAATGTTCCATTAGAAAGATGTGGCGATTATTCGCTCGAATGATCTACAACAAATTTCATTCTCACGAGTAATGGCCACCTTTCTCACTAGTTGAGAATAAACTTATACTATTTACTGCTCTACTATATACTACTATGTACTATATAGTTTATATGAAACTTGCTTTATTGTAATTTGAAGGAATGTTAATATCATATACTTTCATTGACAAAGAGTTCTAAAATGAAAATTTTCAATGGGTATCCATTGAAATATATGAAAAAATCTGAATTGATTTTTTTTCATTTATAATGAGAATTTTCAAACGCAGTGAAAATCTAGTGTAATCATATATGTTAGAAATTTATTATTTTGCTCAAAATTGATTATATCTGAGTTTGAATTCAAGTGTATTTGAGATATTTGCAAATGAATGAGAACAAGTTTTTCAACGAGTTAATGAATGAAATACTCCTCTATATTTTTAAAACTATTGATTGATGTGAAAATATGTAGTTTCTTATTAGCCTTTTTTGGGACCAATCACCATCCATAGTCTGAAAGAATGAAAATCAGTAGTGAAACTCTTCACTACTGATTCTAATAGAAAAAGCAAACTATTAGTTTACCCCGATAAGTTACTGTGTGAAATCAATATGTTTTTCTCAAAAAATAATGTTACATATCGAATTTATTTCTCAAAGGTAATTCCATTTTATTTCATTTTTATTTTATTATATACGGGTTTTCCCCTTTCCACATATGTTAATTGACTATCTGAATATTCGATGTTGTGAAGGTGTTATATGAAATCAGTTAGTTGCCATTTCGCCACATTCCACATCTTTCTTCAAGAGGGGAGCCACGATCCATCTCAAAAATAACTGTTTGATATGCAGTTCTCACCATTTACAAGAATGTATGCTGATTCTTCGAGTTTACTCCTCTTAGCATATAGTTCATTGGATACTATTTTAATTTGATTCCAGTCTACTTGATGGTCACGTAGGATTTTAAAACAAGCTCTAACAATTTTGATCCAGTTAATTTTCTATTTTTGATATAGATTTGTTGTTTATTTTCGCGCACTTCAAGAGGCCTTGACGTCTCAGTTTTTCTTGTTTGTTTTTCTTCTATGTTGTCGGTGTTATATATGTGATTATATATCTTAGTGTATTTTTTCTCTGTATGAAGTTATAACGTAACACATATTACCAATTTGTTTTACCACCAGTCCAACAAATACCAAATCAACAACCACAAGTACCGTTCACAACTAACGTCATGCCCTATATTCCGGGACCAAATCAGAATAAGGCCTGCAAAACGTCAAAATAGATTCGTTCAATATGTCCGTTATATTTAACTTACTCAAATTTTCCGGAATATGTTGCTACGTCGAATTCTTCCTACGTATGATTCTCACAATGTCCAAATCTATCCCTTCCACTCACGTCATCACTCACGTCATGAAATCTCGAATATTTTCGGAACTTCAAGTTATTCCATACAGGTAAATTTCGACCCAAAGAGAATTCGACGTAATGACTCTTTAATTCAGTGGGATTTCGAATAAACTGTCATTACGTTGAATTCTTGCTTTGTTGGATTATCGTTACGCAGAACTCTCGTTATGTCAGTTGAGTTTTCGTTACAGTGAAAATTCGATGTAGCATGAATGCGATGTAGTTGAGAATTCGATAAAATGATACGTAATCCAATTATACTATTTCGCCAATTTGACATATTTATTTTAACAAAAAAGCTATGAAAAAAAGTGAGTTTAAGATTCAGACCCCCCATCCTCCACCTGATGCCGAACCCGACGATTTGGCTATGGAGGCTTTCGTTTTCAAAGTAAATGGAAGAGAACATCTTGTTTTTCTACTACTTGAGAGAAGACTTGTGTTCGTTTCTTTCAAATCTCAGGAAAACACTGCAGCCTCGTGGGCTTATCGAGTCCCCTTTCCAACTTTTCATAACACTTATTCCAACAATCTCATTTCCTGTACTAGTTTGTACTAGTACAGGACATTGTGACATTGTTTACAATTGAGGTTTCCGTCATAAAGCCGTATTTCGTTCAGCCAGCTGAAGCAATTCTTACGTTCTATTCTATGACGTTCCCCCCATGAAAGTTCCGATGTGTGTGTTTTCATGTGTATTTTTCCGGTACTCAATGTTTCTCATTGTCCCATTTACTAATTTGGTCCCGTACCATCGATGTTGGTACTCCAACAGCTAGCTAAAAGGACCAATATAGCTTTTCCATGGCTTGTGATTCGTCAGTGTCCTGACACCTAATATAGAGGTCTGCCAGTTCTTTCAATTCTTCACAGCATCTCCAGACCAGTCTTGACGTCACTCATCAATGTTCCATATGTAGGCTGGCTGCATCCATCTCCTAATTTGCAATGCATACACATCTGCTTGGAATATGGGTGTATATTGACTGATCAGGTAACTACATTGATTTTTTCCCTTACAGTATATGCCAGCTCCCGTCCAACTTTTCACTGTTACTACTTGACAGTTTTTACTTTATTAGTATTCACGGTTATAACCAACAAATCACCAAAAAAACTTACCATTTCTAAAAAAACGTCTCCTATTTTTTGTTTGACATCCCATTGTTCCAGTCTTTTCTTCAGTTCTGCCAAAAAGGTTTGGTGGTGGCTATATAAAAGAGGAATCTAAAAATAATGAACGTAGTATGTCTTTACAATCAAAATTTAGTTTGAGTTTATCACCTGATAAAATATTTCTTCCACCAGATTGGCATCAAGTAGATTCGCATTTTCGGGGGCTTTGAGTGGTTCCAAATATTTCTGTGAAAAGAAAAAGAACATTGGAAAATTATTCTAACTAAAAATCACTCTTGCAAACAATTTTTTTTAAATACTCATTAAATCCTGAAGATAATGATAATGGAAAATGGAATATTTTGAACGTTAACCATACAGAGTGGGCATCGAAAACGTACCACAATTCAGAACTGTCAGGTAAAGGACAAATTCGAAATCACGTTAGATTTGGTTGAAAAAGAGACAAATTTTGACCATTGCAAGTTCTTTCACCTCTTTGATCGTGGGTGTCATCTTCCAAAAAAATATTCCTGTCTATTGTTGCTTTGCTTTGGAAAATCGGTCCACATGTCGCTAAAAATACGTTTCCAGAAAAATTCTAAAGTTGAATCGATTTTAACTATAAACCTATTTTATTATCTGAATGTTGGAACATATATTCCTGCAGTTTTTGAATTCAGCGAGTATCAAGATGAAACTAGATGAAACTAGAGCCAAAAAAAGGTTTGCGATCGAACCTCGCTATGTCCACTAAGCTAAACTTTGAATGAATTGCTGGACTTAACTGTCTTTGAAGGACAAGCCTAAGTAAGGAATGGCGATGATATATCCCCTTACGATGAAGCCATTTATAGGGAGATTTCATCGATACTACTCAGTCAGGCTTGTACTTTAGGGATAATTGAGCCCTGCAACGCATTCATGATTCAGCCTAGAAACACTGATAAGACTTAGGGCGGGTCAAACCAGCGCTATCTCGAGTCTAATAACGATAGACTAGATAAATTAGTTCTGAAAATCTAGAAGACCTGCGACAGAGAATTGTTCGGGAATGCCGATTTCTGACATCTTCAATAATGTAAGGAACGCTTTCGAAAGTAGACTGTATTATTGCATGTAACTAGATGGAGGTCATTTTGAATACTTTATCCGTTGTTTGTGTTGCCATTGATATTACTTTTGTTGATTTCCTCAATCAAATGAGCGACAGCAAATTTTCTTTTTTTTCTCAAATAAACATTCAATTTCTCAATAACGAATGAACCAGATTCGAAAAAATTGAGAAATAAACGACTCGACTCCCCATGCCATTTGACTGGTTGGCTGTCCTTGTTCATCTTTCACTGCCTGAACCACTGCGCATGGTGTTTTTGGCGAGTGGGGGTTGAGCAAACCGGCCATCGGATGCCTGCTTCCACGTAGCCCTGCTGGATACGGAAATGACAGAATCACGTGTGGTTCTGTTATTCCCTAACTGAATGGCATCCCAACGATGGCCTAATCCCAAGGTGTGTGTATCCGTGCTGAGAGGATGAATCATACTGAGCCAATCAACTGTCTCTACTGAACCTTCGAGATACTGGGCGCCCTCGTGTCGTAGAATCGCCTTGTCACGGTAATGCGGGGCTCTGCCGTGATTGACCTTCTTTCCCCAGCTATCGTGGGACTTTTATGGACAGAGTTAACTTGAAAATCCTTTCTGACGCTGAGTCACAGATGAGATGGATGTCGAGCTTACGACTCCAACTGACCTCCCTGTACGGACAAACCCCCCATAAGCAGGTTAGCAAACGTTTGCGCTCAAGTGATGATTCACCAAAACCAGAGGCGAAAAAGCCCTATACGGTTGAATCTAAGGCACCGTTAGGTGTAGCTGAGGTGCAAAAACCCTCATATGGGAAGGTTGTCGCGGGTATCAAGGTGGGAATCTTGCACCTTGACTATCCGACTACATCATTAACGATGAAACAGCAGAGCATATACTTTGTACCTGCCCCGCTGGGGACCAAATCAGGTTTTTAGAGTTCCACAGAGCCGTGCTCTCACCATCTGAACTGAAAGACCACTCACCATACAAACTAATCGGCTTCGTTAAGAAGCTGGGTTTATTTGGTCGAGTGTGAATAGGTGTGAGCCACAATAAACCCTTGCGGGTTGCGGTGGAGGGTCGAATAGACCCACTTACCTTGGACCTAACCTAACTCAACCTAACCCCATGTCATATGAAAAAATAGGGGGGGGGGGGTAGTTGCTGACCGCAGGGCGGGTGAAGTATCCGGCATGATTTCCATGTCAGAGTTAGTCCACCAAATAAAAATTGACGTTTTCTTTAAGATTTTCGATTACACGTCCGTTTCTGACTTACAGGGGTGGTCAAGATTTTGTTGGAACGCCCTGTATAATTGCCTTGCAGTGGAGTAAAAGCTGTAGGGAAAGACAGTGGATGAATCTCGTCGACGGTCTTAGTCGAAGCTGGGCTTTAGAACCGACGGCTTCGAAAGCTTTATTTATGCCTGGAAGGGTAAAAACATTCGTTCTGAAAATACCTAATGAATGAGAAAATCGTATTGCTGAGCTACATGATCAACGGCATCCTGGCAGACATCTTAGTGGAGAAATTGTTCGTGAACTGACGAATTGCAATAGATAACATAAGTCTGCATTAAAAAAAGCTGCCTGGATGTTTTCAACTCACTCCTATGTATTCAGGTATTCTGAAAACTGAAAAAATACTCGAAAAATTCCAAAACGTCAGGTTATTTTGCAAAACGCAAAATTGTATTATGAAAAAAGGGTTTTTTGGGCTAACTTGAAGTCATAAATAAATAGGTATAATTTTATTTTCATTAATGTATACAGGCCATAACTATCATTACTTTCTAAATGAAAAACGCCCTGTGCCCTACTTCGCCTAAGAGGACGAGTTGGTTTATTTTACCAATACTGAAGGTTTGATGGATACATTTAATACTTCATATGACCCAGCACAGTGGCGTATTTTCATAGATGCTTCAAAAAGAAGCCTTGAAGCAGTTCTGCTTCACAATGGCAGTTTATATGCCTCCATTCCTGTCGGTCATTCAGTACACCTCAAGGAAACCTACGAGAACCTGGAATTGATTTTCTGCAAATTGAAATGTAAAGACCACGGTTGGCAAGTGTGCGGTGATCTGAAAATCTTAGGCATGTTGCTCGGACAACAATCTGGGTTTACCAAGTTCCTTTGTTTTTTGCGTCTGTCGGATAGTAGAGACCGAGCAAATCACTGGATCAAAAAGTGTTTGTTGGGGAGCTTAACGTTGGAGCTTAACGTTGGCGAAAAGAATGCCCTACATGAAACTGTGGTACCTACTCATAAAGTTTTTCTACCAACGCTTCACATAAAGCTGGGATTGATGAAACAATTTGTAAATTCATTTCCGAGAGATATAAATTGTTTCAAATACTCAATATAAAGTGACCTTAACTACAAATCGTCAAAGGAATGTTAAAAGTATCTCAAGCCTTTGCCCAAGATATTGAGGAGATGGAAGGAGGATACCAGGTAAGATAGAGCATTTCATTGATGACAGACGACTGTTGGACGCTTCATAGAGAACTTCCAGATGCTTCCTACAAACGAAAATATACCAAAAAGACTTTCACTGGGAAAATAAATGTGTTAAGTGCTTATCACTGAATGTGATAAGCATAAGTTTTGTCACGCAATCGTAAACATAAAAAAATAGTATTTATCTTAAGATAATAACTTGTTTAACATAGATACCTACATCGTCAAAAAACGTGACGTCAAAAACATAGGGATTACGCAAAAAAATAATGAATCAGCTCTCAATTTTTTGCAGACTTGTGTAATTTGCTTGGTATAAGAAAATTGACCTTTGCAATGGGTGTACAAGTGTCCTCAAACCTGAAAAGTATAAATTGCATTTGTAAAATATTCGATTAGTGCAAGAACTTAATGAAAACTTTTATCGTCGCATGTAACTGGTCCAAATTATGAATGAACTAGCGATGAAATGATAAGTTTCCTATTTAATGTGTTTATTCGGACGAGTTTTTTTAAACAATAAAATCGCCACTGTTGTTACTGCACCGATAGCAATCACAAGCTAATTTAAGCGGTACAAACTTAGTCAAATTTCGGAAAATAAATTATCTCTCTCTATTCCGAAATCTACTTTGACAAAGGACTCTCTGATTTATGAAAGCAAAAAAATATATAATCACTTACCCTCCGAAATCAGAAATAAAAAATGTATTAAAAATTCAGAAAAATAATGAAAGAAGCTCTACTCAAAGAAACATTCTATTATCTCGAGTAATTTTACAGTGAAACTCAGCTAAGATTTTATTTTAGATATGATTTCATTCTCTGTATGTTTTATATTTCATTTGCTTTTTCAGTTAATTTTTTTGTGATTGTTTATATAACCACCCATTTTATCTATATTTGACATTTCTTTATTTTTTAACTGATTAGGATAGGATTGTTCTTTTTTGTATATATTTTGTATATTTAAAAAAGCTCTCTTTAACATTCAACATAAAATGCTTTGCCAATAAGAAGTTGATTTCTTAGACAACAAAGTATATTACTCTGTCTCTCAAAATCCTCAAAAGTTGAACGTGATGGTTGGTATTTTTGGAAATTTCCTTTAGGGTTATTTTTGTACCTGGATTTGTTTCAAAAAACCTTCGACCCAGCTATTATTATTATTATCATAGCGAATGATCCTCCACATTACTCATATAATGTGCATAATTATTCAAATGACAGGTTTCAAAGCCAACGGAAAAAATGAGGGGGCAATTGAGTGGCGTGCTTGATCACCCAATTTTTTGTGAAGCACATACAAATCGAAGTTCATTCCACTCCACCTGACTCATTGGAGGACCTGCAAAGACAAAACATCAATGCAGATCGCAAAGTGACATCGAGAGTGTTTCACTGACACCTGTTGAATATAATATAGTTCCCTTCGTGGTATTAGCCAGAGGAGTAGTTGTTTTCTGATAGATGTCAGTCCATTAACCTACAGTGTAGGGAGTTGAGACTGGCCTGAACAAATTGTTCTATTAGATGATTTGATTTATAGCCAGTCTTCAAGTATGCCCACTGACTATATGTGAACATATAATTACGATATGAAATTCACGATATAATATGTGAAATATGAATGTACACAGTTTATTCGTTGTAAAAACAACTATTTGTATAGTAAAAATGAATTGAAACATTT